GGAGAGCTCCCGGCGCCGCGTCTCTTCTGCAGTTTGATTCAGGTCTGTCTGTTCTGTCTTTTCTCTTCTTCCCTTCTTCGCCCCACGGCCGCCAGAGCACCCAGAGATAAAAGAGGCGATCCACGGAAAGGACGATAGGCTCCTCACCTTGTTAAAAGATGTTTATGTGGAGTCCAGGGATCCACCTATGCCGGTGAGTACCTCTGTCACAGGCAGCGTGCCTCTGTAGGAGGCGTGCCAGCACCAGCTTTGTGGTTTTCAAACTCGGCCCAAATTCTATGTGGAAAAAAATGCCCTGTTAGTGCCTGAAAGCTACCTTTTATGTAGATAAATGTGGTGTTTTCATTATTCTGCTATATATCAGTAGCTCTGACTGTGTTTTACCTTGGGCCTGGAACATGTGACAGGTTGTGATTATACAAGCTATGTTGTATAAATGCTTACACGGTCTTCCTTTTTAATGTCACATTGATCTTTGTTTTTCACCTGAAGTCCCTTTTCTGCTTCCTCTAAGGCAGAAGGCCAGTTGGCCAGCCTTCTGCAAAGGTGCAGGAGTTTGGCAGAGATCTCTCGTGGAGCAGATAGAGTAAAAGAGATTTGGACTACTATGGGAGCATGGACGTGGTAGAGGACAAAGCCATTAACATTTTAATGGATGTTCATGTCATACTGTGAAGAAACTTTTATCTTAAGCGGCTAAGGAAGTGCCTGAATTAAGGGGTATTTTTCTGCATAATTTTCTAGATTGTTTGGTGAACAGTTTCCTCCTTGCCAACAGCTGCACTCTTTGACTTGGAAGGCAAAGCACACCCTTTCCAGTAAGCACAGACTGGGGTTCAGACTCCTGTTATTCACCATGCTACATTATGGCATGTGTGTTTTACCTGTTGCATTATTGGACCACTTTCTTCTAGCTGCTTTACTCTGTAATAGAAGTTCTATTATCTAGCAAGAAAATTCTTAAGTCTCTCTAATTTGCCATTTTAGTAGCACCTTTTCTTCAAGATAAAAGTGTTCAAAAATGCAAGGAGATTTCCGCAGTCTCTCCCTGAAGTTACCAAGTAATCTCTATCCTTAATTTTCATAACAGCGATCAAGGCTCTAGTCTAGAAATGCTGATGGTCTAATTTCAGCATCTTTCGACGTTCATTTGTAAGCCTGTTAAGAGAGATTTGAGGAAAAGCCAAAAGTGGAACAAATCCTAGTGCTTGATGCCATGTCTGCTCTGAGGTTGCTGTCATTTAAGACTTGCTCTTTTGATGTGTCTACTTGCAGTTGTTAGTAAGAGCATGATGAATATGTTATCACAGAGGCTTGTGGACAAAACTTCATCCAAAAGCTTCCTTTGTTTCCTGATGTTATTCTGAATACTTTGTGCATCTCTTATGTATATGTATCTACACGTATATTGGGTGTGTTTATGGTAAATGGAAAAGCACCACGGCTAAGTCCGTGAGTAGCAGATAACCAGAGACAGAGTATTTTATTAAGACTTAGATAATTGTTCATTATCTGAGCATGGTTTTAGCACAAAAGATGAAATGGAGAACTAGGAGTATCATCAAACAGTATGTGTAGTTTAGAAACAGACAGAGTTACAGGTGCATCTACATCAGTTTTCTCAGCTTGTGAGCTAATACAGAGAGTCTGGTCTGATCAGAGGATGTGGACCCTGGTAACTTTAGAAAACCTTTTTCTTAAATCTAAGGAAAGTTTTAATTGTGTCTTTTTCTGCAGTGTCATTCGCTGGTTAAATCTTAATAAAAGGCAATGTGAGGAAGGTTGAGCAGGTCTGGAAATGACTTAGAAATATGAAGGGACTTGGGAGAAGAGATTTCACATGTCTAAGCACTGTGGTAGTTGTGGGAATTAGTCTCTGTATGATGCTGCAAAATAGTTTCTTTTTGCCCAGCAAAGCTTGTTGTCTAGGCAGAGCAAAAGAAAGGATATCTTTTAGTACCAGAACTAAAGTCTGAAAGTGGAGCAAAGGGAAGAGAGACTATGAAAAAGATGTCTAGTGGTATCAGAAGGAGGATACCAATTTGTGTTATGGTTATTTTTTTTCTGTGCCACAAATCGGTACCAAATATTAGGTTATCTGCATTTATGTTTGGCCACGAAAATCTGTAGTTTGTGTTGTATGAAGGGCTACCACGCCTGTACAACATGTAGAGTTCAATGGATGAGAGCTTTTCAGAATCTGGGGAGGGGATGACGTATGTGGGGCTGTGGAAGAAGTGACAATTTTTGTGATATCTAGAAGCAAGGCTGGCTAAGCATTTCGGTTTTTTTATGCTGTGAAAATGGGGAAAGCTAGCAGGAAATGTCATATTTAGGAAAACAGCTTGGCTGCTACAGTATGCATAGTGAACAGAACTGCTGTTAAGCTCTTTTTGTTTTTCTTCCCAAAATTAGGTGAAAGATGGAGGTGGTGAACATCTTCCATGTAAACTGGAGGAAAAGAGACTTACAAAACTAGGCTGCTTGGGAGATCTAGATGTTAAGAAAGTTTCCAAGGGCAGGATCTCCATTGTGGAGGCTGTGACGCTTCTTAATAATCATAAACTTCATCCTCAAGTATGGACTGCAGAGAAAATAGCAGAGGAATATAGCCTGGAACTGAAGGATGTCAACTCTCTTCTGGAATTCTTCATTCCTTTCACTGTACAGGAATTTCCTAAAGATACCAAAAAAGCTATAAAGGCAACATAAATATAATTACCAAAACCTTGTGTGATCTCACTCGTGTCTTAATTTTGCTTTTGAGTATTTCAAGCGTCTGAAAAGAGCTGGTTACGTGTCGTCCAACACGGCTGCTTCCGTGTACCACGAATTGCTTTCAAGCAATTCTGTTCTACACTTCATGGCTTCAGTTAAAAGCAGCAAACAGAGGTACAGTTTGTAAACCAGAATATGACTTTAAGTTGTATGAGATCATGCCACACAATTCTGATTATGCCATTCACATGTTAGGAGTTCAGTTAAAATACGCAGGTTCAAGTGGGAACTTTACCTTAGCAGGTTGCCTTTCTTAGCAGAGGCTTCCTGGCCTTCAGCTAAATCTCATCTCTGTATGTATTAGCTCTCCACTGTCATGATGTTCTTTAAAGGACATGCTATCAAGGTCTGTGTATATACAAACAGCTGTATTTCTTTTGTATAAGAATGGAATAGTATTTATATATTGTAAAGAGGGTTAACCACAAGATCTTTGGGAAATTCGACTGGGTCAGATGGGAAATAAAAAGATGGTGAATAGCAAGAAGGCCTCTTCCTGATGCTGAAACAGTAATGGCTGATGTGTAGCTCCTCTTTTACTCTGTTCTGAGCTTAAATATGTGCACCTCACCAGGTACTGCCAGTGAATTTGTAAAGGGTGACGATCTCCTACATCAGTCTCTTGCAGCAGCCTGTGGCACCTGCTGTATGAGAAATAATGGTTCACATTACAACTAAGTAGCTATGAAATACGTCTGGATCTACTAACTGGTCCCACCAGTAGGTCTTCTGTAAATGCCTGTCCTGTTAAAACAGCCTGTTTTCCCTGTGGAGGCCTTGTCTGATTTACACAAATTTGGGCTAGATTAGCTCGTGTTCACTCACAGTAAGTTACCCATGTGCTACCAGATAGAAGATGAACATCCTTTCCTGAGGTGGGAACGGTGGATTGTAACCTTGATACTGTGGCTGTTCAGGCCTGTGTAGGTAAGGAAGTTTTGCACTGATGATTAATGTTGTAGTGCAAACTGGTTCATGTTTTCCAGATAACCTGGGCACAGATAATACGAATTGAGGTTTTAAAATGGGTTGTCGTTGCCTTTATTCAAAAGAAACAAAAAACAAACCTTAATTCTAAGTGGCACTAACATTCCTAGTGCCCATCACCAAAGAATTTAAATTTATTAAGAGGGTGGAAGTCAGCACCGGCCTACAATGAAACTTGCTTTTAGAGAGCTTTTCTGCCATGTCTTAGATTTCAGGCTCTGGTAAATACCAAGAAGATGATCAGCTTCGCTCTTTCACAGCAAGATTCTTCCCACTTCTCTCTGATGGAACAAGGTATTTGCAGTACAGTTTGTCACAGTGTATTCAGGGTTTTGCTTGATTCATTTCCAAAGTTCATAATGCTGTTCCTTGGTGGAAGGTGGCAAGTGCATTGTATAAAAATATGAAGTTGTTAGGTTTTGGATGTGTGGATTTTCCACAAAATACCCTGGTTTATAAAATGTTGGAACAAATACTTTATTGTTTGAAATATGTAATAATTAAGGCAATATTCAGAAAACATCTGTGGGATGCATTTGATGCAGCTACTTTTGTTACTGTTATTGGAGACACTGTGATTTCCTTCCTTAAAAATGAATCTTTTCTTAGGTGTCAGAGTTGATTAAAAGCTCACTACAGTTGGCACCAGAGAACAGCTTAATCATGGACCTTGAGGAACTTGGTATGTATTTTGGCTTTTTTTGTCTGCCTTTGTGAACTGTTCTGTAATTTGGCTACACCACTAGTACCCTGTTTCACGTAGAAAGTCCCTAGAGACATTGTGGTACACTGCTGCGTTGCTTACGGTCTTCAGCAGGCACATGCTTTGGGATGTTAGGTGCTCATGGTGTTCCCTGTTCCAGCCATACCTTCAGGACAAAATCCTCTCTATGAATGAGAGGATTGCAAAGTCACCTCCAGTTTCTCTGGACCCAGGTTTTTCTCCTCAGAATATATTGTCCACAGTGGGGAAGTAGGCAGGTCGCACAGCACAGGGGTGGGACAGGGGTGTATCTCCCTGGAAGCAGGGGAACTGCTGATGGCCCAAAAGGCTCCTCTAGAGCAAGGGACTTCTCTGGCACAGTGCATTCACGTTAAGAAAAACTAGACACAATGCAGTTTGCTGTCACCACACAGATTCTTCTGCTGGTCACCTGCCCCACCTGCTGGGCAACTTCAGTGTTATGAAGGCATTGCTGATGGTATGGGATCATGTAAAATCTCTACCTTTATCTATCCAAATTCTTCATAGTCTGGATGTTTAGCTTTCACTGTCTCTTCAGACCTAGAGAGTTCTACTTGAAGCTCATAAGATCCTGGAGCATGGATCTTTGCTCTGGTGGGAAAGCCTGTCCCTGATGGAGCTCTGTCAACACTGCTGTCTTGTCCTGTGCAGGCTAACGGCCACAGCCAGCCGCAAGGGCCTTGGCAGGTGTGTGCCTGAGCTGTGCTCAAGTGAGTATGTGTTGGAAGAGCACTGTTGTCAGGGCTGAAGTCTTGGACAAGACTATTCCATTGTTGCATCTTTTCTAGAACTGCTTAGTTCTATTCTTCCCGTTTCAAGGGACCCTTCACTAGTCAGTTATCTTGCCTGCTTACCAGTTTCTCATTTTGATGCATTTTCCAATTACAAGAGTAATGATATTTATGATATTTTCTTTACACTTTTTACTGTTGGGTTTTTTTGTTTTTTTTTTTTTTTTTTCTGTGTCCCATTCTGTCTATATCCCTTTCCTGTTGCTGTTTGGCTGTCAGCTTAAGGAAAAGGTACTCTTCAAGCAACTGTTTTGAAGAGGTAATTATGGGGAATTTGTGGGAACCTGTGGTTCAGTTTTCTGATACTCGTATGTGGACAATTTGTCGTGTTTTGTTGCCATGCATGCAGGGCTACCAAATTCAGCTTGGATGGTTTTGGCCACCATATAGAATTACGTTTGGTAGGGAAAAACCTGCCTCACTCAAACTGCTTTGTTCTTGCCAAATTAATGTAAAATGTGTAGCAAGTACAAGCTTTTTGAGCCTGTAATGGAGTTGTTTAATCTCTAGTGTAAATGACACATGGTTAGCAAACTTCTTTATATGTGGTATTATTACACCAGTTTTCCAAATGTCACTGAATAAAGTCAGGGCTGCCTTGGGCACTGGGACAGTGAGTACACAGGGCAGGCTGAGCCTTGCTTAGAAATAAGGGTTACTTTCCTGGTGAGATTTAAAATTTAATTTCTTCAGGGGAGTGCTAGCAGGTATACTAGAATTCCAGGCTTGAATTTAAAAAAAAAAAAAAGTCTCTTTAGGGGGAGTCTGGTACCTCACTCACCCACATTTTCTGGGACATAGCCCCATTCCTCTAGCCTTGTTCTGTAATCTAAGTCTATTCCTGGCCTTCTTCAGCCAGTCTTCTCTCCTATGAAAGCTTTATGCACTCTTGCTCTTTACTAGCTCACATGCAAATGCTGGCTGTATTCTACCCTTTGAGTATCAACAACCTGTTCAATTTCTGCAGAGCTCTCATGTTCTAAGAGTAGCACATCTGCTGAGGTACAAATGAGAGGACTGAGCACGTTTGGCTCTGCAGAATTTAGGAACAGGACAGATTTTCAAAAGGGATGTGGCTTTCTATACAACTTCAACAGCTGCTTTTTTGGGGTATGTGAAAGTAAGTAATCTTGTTCTGTTTCACCGTGTATTACTTGTAGCTAGATTCTTACAGTCTGATGCCAAGACAGCAAGATTGGAGCTGTGAGGCAGGAAAGAGTTTTAACTCTGCTTTTTTTCTAGGTTAGTTAGAGGGAGCTTCAGTACAAAAAGATGATCTTTCTGTTGCCTTCCAGCACAATGAACTTGTCTTTTAAGCTATTTCTTTTTACTCAAGGAGAAAAGAAAATAATATTTATTTGTAAGAGTTTTGTACTGAATTTACACAATGGAATATCTTAATTCTATATTGAAAAATGGAGTCAAACCTCAAGTAGTCATCAAACAGGATCAAAATGCAGTTTAAAAAGGCAGCTGTCTCACCTGGTTTCATATGAACGTCGTGCTTTCATGTTTGAGATTGCACAAAGCTTCACATTTCATGGCTCTGTTCTGGAGCCCCTTTCTAAAATGTTTTCTGGTTCTTAATCAGCTAGTGCCAATGTTGAACCGACAGCAGGAGAGCCCTGACCAGTGCAGGTGAGCTTCAGGTACAAATAAATGTTGGCATTTGAGGCTGTGGCCAGTTGTATGCCCACTGATGTGCTGTTAGCAATCGAAACTGTGTCGGTCCCTGTTATCAAATCTGTTTCCAGGAATCCACAAGTCTGATGAATTCTGTAACCTTTCACTGTTTAGGTACTGCTGTGTTGTTATCAGAGCTGACTGTTTTCTGCTGAACTGTTGTGTCCTGTCCCCTCCCAAGATGGATTAATTTTGCTTAGAAATTTAACATCAGTTTTCTTGGTCTGA